AACCGCCCGGACGGCGTCCGCTTGCAAGTATGCTGAAAACCAATGTCAATGAGAGCTAGCTCTCGCCACCACCAACATGAGTGTCCAGGCCCTATCTCCCTACTTGGCGCTCAGCGCCCAGCCTACTTCCTACACAGCTACAATCTGCCTACTAATTGACAATGCAACTGTTGACGTCAGCAGCTCACGAAGTACTTGAAGATGTCGCCCGAATGCAGACCATCGCCAATATCTGGTATGTGCCCTCACATCATCATCACCATCATCCTTCTACCTCTCCCCTGACTTACTCCCACGTCTTCCCTCTGTACACTCGAAGACCACCCCTGCGCCTCACTGTAGTCCAAGCCCATCCAGCTCTGGAGGCTGGGCTATGGCGCTGCCCTCAGCAGCGCCCTGCTCCCTGCACGACCGCACGTGCTAGCACCTTGCCTCTCAGCGCCAGCAGCAGCCCACGAGCGTCCGCTCCAGGAGCGCTGCCGCCAGCATGCAAGTGCTGAATGAGGCTCCAGGCAGCGAGCTCTTTCCTATATGGAAAAAGCCTGCCTGCCTTCGCAGCCTGGCTGGCCTGGGCCTGGGCCCAGAAGCTTCCGGTAGGCCCCAGGATGTTACGCCTCTGTTGCAGCTACTGGGCCTCATTCGGTTGGGCCTCCCAACTGTCTGTGTATGGCCCTTCGATTCTCGTCCAGGGCCTGCATCATTTTGGAAAGGCCTGGAAGTCCGTGGAATGTCTCGCTGCTCGGCCTGTGTTTCCTTCAACCAACTGGCGCGACGAAAGCTGCCTGGACCCCAAAATACGATATTGACAGCTTAGGGCCTCTCGTGATTTGTTAGGCCCGCCTTCACTTAGGGCGGGCACATCTGCAGCAAGAGGCCCCTTAGGCCTGCCGAGGACCCAGATCCTCGCACATAAATTATCCATAGTATACAGTCTCGGCCACAAAGTTGCACATGGAGATGAAGGGACTAGAAACCCTTGCTCTCCATCTTGTGCTTTCAATAGATAAGTCACCTCAGTCCCTTCCCTCCAGTGGAATAGCCCTCCACATAGCGCCTACAGGAATGAAGGGCATGAAAAAGTAGCCAAAGGGCTTGGCTCCACTGCTCACCACATGCACAAAAGACAAAAAAATATGCCGGTGTATCTTCCCATGTTCTAGCGGACGATTCATTCTTATTTTGCACATTAAATTCTGGTGAGCAGTGTGAGTGAGGCCCAAAGTAGCTCCTCTTTCTTTCTTGTGCCCAATTTTTCAGGATGAATCAGGCCTCTGTCTTAAATCGACAGTACCTCGCTTGGGGACACTCCGCGCACCCACCGGTCAGCCCCGTGCTAGGGACAGGTTCGGCCTACCGAAGGAAAAAAGGCTGGCAGCGCCAGGCAAAATTGCACCTTCAATGCTTCAGAACCTTGGGACAGGGAAAATTGCCCCTCGAAAAGAAAAAAAAAGCTAAGGTATTGGTGTGTCAAACCACCACTCCTGAAGAGCCTTCTTCGTCCCACCCGTATTTCCGCTGCACACCAAAGAAAAAGGACTGGCAAGGGCGCGGAGTACTTTTTCTTTTCCCTGGCTCCAGTAGCCTTCTTGGTCTGGTAGAACGGGCCCTCGATAACAAGAAGTTGCCAAGTTGAAACAGACCCCTAGCAGCCGCTCGGGTTGTTTTGCTTAAAACAAAAACAAAAACAAAAAAAAAACAAAAAAAAACAGAACCGCTGGGAAAGGAACTGGTGGTTTAAGAAGAGCATTAATTTCAAAACAACATTTGTTGGTATGGCTAAATTCCCACGCTATTTCTTTCGTATATTTATTGGTCTTGGACTCTTCGGTATGCCGAAATATTGTTTTCGATTTTGTGCCACACACACACACAAACACAGAGCCATGCTTTTTTTTTGTGGAGTTGCATATAGCAAATATGACAATGCACACACACGAATACACACACACACACACACACACACACACACGCACACACACACACACACACACACGATTCATACAGTCAATATCTGCCACTCAATATACCCTCTCAATATTGGGGCCTCCCCTTCATATAACCCTTTTCTGCCCCCACTATCACACCTTCCATCCACAAAGAAGCCGCAAACCCCACTTCCTTCTCTCCCATAACAGACTATCTGGTGGCAGATCACCACCCTTGTCTACCACCCCCCCCCCCCCCCCCCCCCACCTTTTTGCTACATTTCTCCCCTATGCAACGCTATACGCCCTGCACATCCATCCTTCCCCCACGCCTTCCTCCTCCTCCGCATTTCATGCCCACATCACTGCAATCCCACTTCTCAGGTAAGACTGCCTCCTCTTCTGTCTGAGTGTTGCATTCTGTACCATTTCTTTTTGTTTTAGTGAATGATCTGAAAAGGTTTTGCTTGAAAATTTTCCACCATAGCAGCAAAAAGCGCCTCAGGGATCACCAAATTCAAACATAAGACCGGATTTGGGCACATCTCAGTGGCCACAAAGACACCCACTGTTGCATCAACAAAAACAAAAAAAAACAAAAAATTGAACCCCCTTTGCTGTCAGTGCCTGTCACCCACTTACCGCGGACAGGTGGCCCCTCAGCAGGTTCACCATGGTTGTCTACCCGGGGTACCCTGGCAAGCGACTCAGTAGCCTAGCTTTTGAATGTTGTTCCATGTCACAATCTGGTTCCTCCCATGTGGTTGATCAATTTTGCCTTTCAAAGGATGAACATGTGCTCTGTGTTGCTGTGAGGTTGATCCCTCTGTGCAGGTGATGCTATGAGCATGTGGCGCGCGCACACACACACACACACACACACACACACACACACATCAACTCGCCATAGTACCTGTTGATAAAACATAGCACAACATGGCAATATGCTGCAAACGCTGGTATGCAAGTACGTTATCACAGCATCTTGATAGTTCCACGGTTCCACCTACAATTAAGTATCAGAGTCTGTGGCCAGCATCCTCAAATGCCATGCACTTTTCAATCAACGCTGGGGCTATGGACATACTGACACCCTGCCTTATCTATACTTGGCACTCAAAGCACACAAATCTCCACCCACTCTACGCCCAATTCTCAAAGTTACTCAGCGAAACAACCTTTCCTGATCTGCACCTCGCTCTACACCACACCGACCTACATTCTCTGCATAACAGTTCCCCTCATAAGCCTCTTGCAAGCACAACAATGGCCTCTCGTTCACTGAGCTATACTCTCCAAGGTGTGACCAAGTCTCTGTGCAGTAGAGACAATGAGCTCTACCAAGAAAGTGGTGTACGATGTTGCCGGATCTTGCAAAGTGTCGAGGAAATCATTTGGATCTCAATCAGAATGTGCATTCCCTTCGAGGCTGTACGCCTCACACAACAGATTTTACAGCAATGTACATGAGCCTGATACGATCCTGGCCAATTTCGAAGTACAAATTCACGAGAAAGCACAATATCGTCCAATTGCAAAAAGAAATGAATGAACTTGAGAGGAGAGAGAGGGAAAGAAGAAGAAGAAGAAGATGTACACCAGCAAAGACCAATGATAATCCCCCTTCTCATCGCCAACCAACTCCTCCTCCTTTTCTCCTCTCCACTTATTCGAACAATAAATAATAATCGTGATGATGAATGGAAGAATCAGAATCAATGTCCGGATCCATCTTCTACTGCCAGCACAACTTGAGGTCCACCATTGCCATGGCTGGCCGCCTCTTCCTCTTTATAGGTTGAGGCTATGGAAGACTACTAGGGCCCTGCCCTGACGTGCAAAAGACAACACAAAGCAGCTATGGCTGCTCCCACTCAGGCCGTCATGCGTGACTCTGCCTCGAAGCTCCTTGGTGTAGCTCTACCCCAACAGGGGCCTTCCAGATACTTGATGAAGATGGCGTCCACCATAGCCAGGTAGGTACCCTTGGTCCTGCCCTACCCTAGTCCCCTTCTTCCTCCTCCTCCCACCCGAGCTCCACCAATGCCAAGGTGGGGAGCAGGGTGCGGTCGAGCGCATCGGTCCCGCAGGGGGACCCTCCCGGCTGCGTCACGCAGGATTTTGCAGGACTTGTCGCGGAGAACGTTGCCGCTCCAGCCGAGTGCGCCAGCCATACCTCTCGCAAACCCCTATGACAGGATAGGGTCACGCGAGGTACAACTTACCTCCACCTCTAGGAGCTGTCACCATCCCTTACGTGGGCGTATCCCCACCGAGCTACCGAACCACTTGCGAAAGCTTTTCGTATGCAATCATAGAGGTGGCCCAGCCGAGGGCATTTCTCATTCGTTGTAGCATAGGGGGTATGCGTGGTTAATGCCCGAATCGGACCGGTGCACGAATCGTGGTCCGAGGTGCTGATATCCCGAGCGCGGCCAGAGCAAACGGTGGCAGGGGCATGCAGCGATCATGTGCAAAACACTCTTCGGACTTGATCGAGGTGGGGTCAAAGAGTACTTCGAAAGGGGCTTGCACCGATACTGACGCGCCAATCGTTCGTCGGACTTGCGTATAGGGGCGAGAAAAACATCGAACCATCTAGTGGTTGGTTCCCTCCAAAGTTTCCCTCCGGAGCGGGAGCTGCCGACCGGTTAGTGCACAACAATGGTCAGGCTAGGCTAGCTGAAAAAGGAGGGGGTGACCCTCGACGCGGATCCGCGGCAGGCGCATCGAAGGTGGAGATGGAGATGGCGAAGAGAGGGAGATGAGCATGATGGAGGAAGAAGGCATAACTCGCTCATTCCTCAATGGAATCGGCCGAAGTAAGAGTTGGTTCTCGGGTTTTAAGGTAGGGCGGGCGTAGTTGCAGTGTTAGTTTTTTCATTAGTTTGGTCGAGATGATTGTTAGAGATTTCACGAAATGCAAATAAAAACGAGCGGGTGCGGGATGAGTATCATGCGCGCGTGAACGAGATAGAAAGGATAGAGAGAGAGAGTTTAAGGCACTTACCACAAAAGGAGGAGGAGCGGATACACACCTGTTTGCAGTGCAGTGTAGGACGTGCATCTTCCGATGCTCTAGCGCTAGATTCATTCCCAATTATGCATGAGTATTTCCCTCTGTTCTGCTAGTTGATGCACTCTCATCGTGTATACTTACCTATCCAGTGTTCTAACGAAAGATTCATTCATCTCATTGGAGGAATAGGCGTAGTAGCAACGGACATTGGCAAGTGTATCTTCTTGTATTCTAACGGGAGATTCATTCTCATATTGCACAGTTGGCGAGTGCAGAATTGGTTATTCGTCACCGGTTTCGTGGTTGTCAAGCTGTTGCTTTTTATTACCTTGGTGTGCGCGGTGTGTGGATCCATGATCATTTCCGGTAAGCTCTTCTTCGTGCCCTGCGCACCGATCTTGAAAGTTGTGTCAAGCCATGCGCGCGTTCGCCTCCCATAGCAACGCTGCTTGTAGTGGAGATCGTCAACTTTTGCCTTGGTCGGGGTCGCCTGGAATAGGTGTAAGCGCACATACAGGGTGAAGAGGGAGAACCGATCATGAGGATGGTGAAGGGAGGGAATCACCTAGGTGGGAATGGGAGCTATGTGCATCGAGAAAGAGGGTGTTGGGAAAGAGGAATACTTACCTTGAGATTGCCTTGTTGCATAGTTTGAGAAATAACAGGTATCCGATCGGGGTGATGTCTGGGTGCATTGGAGTATGGGAGGTGGAGGTAGCGCTGCCCACCGTGGCAATAGAGAGAGAGCACCAATCTGCGCTGTGGGGGGGAGAGAGAGAGAGCACCAATCTACGCTGCACCAATCACAGAGCACAAACCACGTAGCACGTAGCCAGTAGCACGTAGCAAGTTGTCGTCGCACTAACTCAAGTAGCGCGAACCACGTAGCAGCAAGCACAAATCATGTAGCACCAACGCGCGAAGCACGGAGAAGCACCGGTTCACCTACCACAGAGCTCGAGAGGGGAGAGAGAGAGAGCACCAATCTACGCTGTGGGGGGGAGAGAGAGAGAAAGCACCAATCTACGCTGCACCAATCACAGACGTCGGACCACAAACCACGTAGCACGTAGCAAGTTGTTGTCGCACTAACTCAAGTAGCGCGAACCACGTAGCACCAAGCACCATTCACGTAGCACCAAAGCGTGAAGCACGGAGAAGCACCGGTTCACCAACCACAGAGAGAGAGAGAGAGGAGAGAGAGAAAAAGCACCGATCTACGCTGTGGGGGGGAGAGAGAGAGAGAGAATCAATCTACGCTGCACCAATCACGGAGCACAAACCACGGAGCATGTAGCCTCTCTCTCTCTCTCTCTCTCTCTCTCTCTCTCTCTCTCTCTCTCTCTCTCTCTCTCTCTCTCTCT